AAAAGGAAACCAGGAGACGCATGGATGCATTGGATTCGGTTTACCAAAATTACCACCACCAACTGGGAAGGAACACAGATAAAAAGACCCAAATACCCCTAACATTACTTGACAAACACAACTGTACCACTTCTGCCGTAAATTTCCAAAAATACCCCTTTGCTTTCACGAATACCACGCACTACCGTTCCCGTCCCCAATTCCCGCCAACAGGGTAAGGGTAAGTCTGTGCTGCCAAAAAACCAACCGAAACAAAAAAATTAAGTTAAAAAGAAGAAAAGAAAACAGAATATCCAGATTTCACACGCACCACACCAAAATTCGTTTACTGAAACCAGAAAAGACAAAGTTTAATTATAAACAAAACTTGAAAATAAACTAAGCAAAAAGCGCGCACACACAAAGCGTGAGTGGCGAAAATTCAGTACCTGTGACGTCAGCAAGATCCGTACGAAACAGAGTCCAGAGCACCACGAGCGAAACCGGCGGCTACCGGCGATCGCTTCCTCTTCCTCTTCGGCACCAGTTTCTTCTCTGGACGAGTAGTCCCGGAAGCAGAGTTGGGAGCAGAAACGAGGCCGTAGGATCTGCAATCAAGGGCCAACGGCGGTGATTGTTGAAGTTGCGAGTACTGGACGACGTCGTGGCTGGGGCTCATTGGAGGAGCAGGGGAAGAGATTGTGTGTTTCCATGAGCTTAGGGTTTCGACGGATGTGACGCAGCACTCTTTCCAGTTGAGGTCGGCGAGGTCGGCGACGACGTCCTCCAGGGTGGTGATCACAAACGGAGAGATGTAGTCTCTGAGCGTCGAGCGAGCCGGATCGACCAGCGGCAGCGAGCTCACGGCGTCGCTCAAACGTGCCTTGAGATTTCAAAATTGGGGGAAAAACAGACGAAATGGGATGGATCAGGACTTGTTTGATTACCGAGAAATTGTGAGAAAATAAAATTGGCCAATGCTTGAAGCAAATTTCAAATAAATATGAAAAATGTTTGTAAAAAAAAAGAAAAGAAAAGAAGAGGAATGCGATGATTAGGATTGAGGACCTGTTTAGTTAGCGAGAAAGTATGAGAAAAATGGGCCAAGACTTGAAGCAAATTTCAACAAAATATGGAAAATTAAACTAGAAAACATGCCAGAGAGAAGAAACCATTCACGATTCAAGGCATATAATATAATCTATCAAGATAACAATAGTGCATTAGTTATGATATTTTCTCAGGGGCCAAACAGAAGGTAAGAATATGAAGGAATTTGAAATTTCACCTTGGGAACCTTGTAGATCTTCTTGTATCCGTGCATGGAAATGATCTGCAACACCAAAATTCCGAAAAGAAACTCGAATCAATCAATTCAGGAAGAGATTAAAAGAAAAAAAATGTGAATAACTTAGATGATGAAGAAGAAGAAGACGAACCTGATTGAGATGAGCGACGGTGAGATGGAGGTGGGAGTTGGATTGAATGAGGAGCAGGTAATCTTCTAGAGTCATCTTCTCGCTGTGGAAACTCGTCGTCTTCCTTTTGCTCGCACTCGAACTCGCGCTCGCACTCGCACTCGAACTCGCGCTCGCACTCGCACTCACCATATCCATCTTCGCTCTGCTTCTGCTCTTTTGCAACAGGCTACTCTTCTCTTTGTATAGCGGTTGGTTTATCAATTTGTTATTTCTTTTCTTTTTCTTATTTTCAGGCTCAGGTCCGTCGGTTTGGGTGCTTTTGTACGAAATATATCAACTCTTTCACTACAATGCTTTTATTTTCGGATTGCAACCCAAGTTTTTATTGTATTTTTAAGGACATCTCGAAACGTTTAAAATAAAAAGAAAACTAACTAGAAGTTCTAAAAAAATTTAGATTTTAATTAAAATGATAAAATAAAGGTGTAAGTGAATAGTATAAGGAGTGACTTTTCAAGATAAAAATGTCCTTAACATTAAAAATAAACAGTACCGAGTATTTCGTTAAGATTCCCTTTAATAAAAGCAACAAGTTAGAATAATTATTTTTATTCCAATAATTCAGACTATTGAGTATTAAATAACAGCTAAACTTAAATTTAAACCTCACAGGTTAATTGAGAAAACAAAATTCAAGAAGAAACAGAGTACTAGAATGTGACGTGCAAGAATTTGCTCCCATTTGAGGAAAAAAAAAAACTTAATTTCATAGTCATAAATCACCCATGAAAACAATTTTGGGTTAGACAAAAACAAAAGCTCCGGAAGGGTAGGGAAAGTTTGATTAACTTTGGTGGTAAATGGAAATTGAGCCTAATGATCAAATGATCCGGGTTATTAAAATTTAATCTAACAGTTACAATTATTATAATTTTTAAAGGGATCATCTACTTGTAACCGTTGAATCAAATTTCAATGGTCTGAATAATTTAATCCTTGAGCTCAGTTCATTTGGATCTGGAGGATATCTGTTCGGTGGTAAATAAAGGCTGATAGCTGACTCATCCTCCTAGTATTGAATGTTTGCTGAGGTGGAAGGACGATAAATAAAGGCTGATAGCTGACTCATCCTCCTAGATTTTGGGCTTGTTTTGTAGACTATGATCTCTTTTATCTGCCACTTTGAATTCCTTGAATTAAAAGCCTCTAAAATTTACATTTATAAGATATCTTCAACCCTTAAGCTAAAACCTAAAATTTTTAACCTAGAAAATTTAGGTTTTAGCCCAGAAATAGTTTTTCTGCTCCAACCCTTCTGGCCTAAAATTTTTAGCCCGAGATTATTAAATAATAAATTTAGGCTAACTTTTTTTTTAAAAGTAATTTTTTTTAATTATGTACACTATCATAATTTAATTTTATGAACATTTTAACCTAAAATTATTTAAATTCCGATAAATATTGAAAAATCACTCAATTTGGGTGAATTTTGAGTTAAATAATTTTTTTAATTATTTTAGCCGTAGGATTTAAATTTGGACCGTTATATCTTTTTTTACTGTTATATTTGATTATATTCGATCTCAGCTGTTGGATTCAATAAATTATGAGGGACATGTCCATGTGGGTGGGGTCCTGCTAGTGGTGCCCACACCATTTTCTGGGCTAAATCCCGAGGGGAATTTGGCTTTTAGCATTTAGTTCACATATTTAGCATGGGTTGGGTTTTTTATGGGGGGGGGGAATAAAACCTAAAAAATAGCATTTAGCCCATGGTTGGGTTTGATCTAAGGGTTAGTAACTTAAGATGCAATTAGGGCAATTTTTTTTTTTCTCTTTGGATTTCAGATGATTAGCATTTATTTTTTGGTTATTCAATTCTTTTCAGGTTTGTAAATGTTTGGCTTATGTTTTACCTGTATACCAGCACAATTTTAAGAGCACATGAATTTTAGATCAATAATTCTTTCTCAACCATTAATCATACGTAAAACTCTTCAGTGGGTCATTGCACATAATCCACAATCTAAAAACTTTAGAAGATTTTGCTCTAATTATTTATAATATATATATATATATATATATATATATAATATTACAACGGGGTGTGCTATCTACACACACCCTTTGTTAATTTCTATCCGTTGATCTTCTTTAATTCATCCGATCTGACGGCCGAAAATTAGGCAGCTGTACGAAATATATCAACTCTTTCACTACAATGCTTTTATTTTCGGATTGCAACCCAAGTTTTTATTGTATTTTTAAGGACATCTCGAAACGTTTAAAATAAAAAGAAAACTAACTAGAAGTTCTCAAAAATTTTAGATTTTAATTAAAATGATAAAATAAAGGTGTAAGTGAATAGTATAAGGAGTGACTTTTCAAGATAAAAATGTCCTTAACGTTAAAAATAAACAGTACCGAAAGTATTTCGTTAAGATTCCCTTTAATAAAAGCAACAAGTTAGAATAATTATTTTTATTCCAATAATTCAGACTATTGAGTATTAAATACCAGCTAAACTTAAATTTAAACCTCACATGGTAATTGAGAAAACAAAATTCAAGAAGAAACAGAGTAATAGAATGTGACGTGCACGAATTTACTCCCATTTGAGGAAAAAAAAAAAAAAACCTTAATTTCATAGTCATAAATCACCCATGAAAACAAAAGCCCCGGAAGGGTAAGATAGGTACAAGGGAAAATTTGATTTAGTTTGGTTGTAAACAGAGGCTGATAGCTGACTCATCCTCCTGGTATTGAATATTTGCTGAGGTGGAAGGACGATCAATGAGATTATATTGAAAAGTGCAATAAAAATGGGTTATTCATAAGATATTATTACGACGGTTTAAACCAACTATTTTTGTCTCGATTTTTGGTTTTCAGCTCTCTGTTTTTTTTCAACCGATAATTAAAAGTAGTTATTTTACAAGATTTCAGGTTTCAGATTTCAAAGTCATAACAAAGCCGCAAATCAATAGTGGTGGTCGACAGCTTCTGTGCGTCGTTCCGGAGACCTTGGACGGCTGGGGAGCAGCTACAGTTGCCATGGATGCTTAGAATTTTTTCCGAAGTAGATTTTGGGCTTGTTTTGTGTGTTGTAGGGGTCCATGTTGTTATTTGCACTTGGTGTTTCTAGGCCTCTTTGTGTGTGTTGTTCTTTGTAGACTATGGTCTCTTTTATCTGCCACTTTGAATTCCTTAAATTAAAAGCCTTTAAAATTTACACTTAAAAGACTATCTCGAACCTTTGGACCAAAACTTAAAATTTTTAGCCCAGAAAATTTAGATTTTAGCCAATAAATAGCTTTTCTACTCCAACATTTCTGGCCTAAATTTTTTAGCCTGAAATTTTAAAAAATAAATTTAGGCTAATTTTTTCTTTTAAAGTAATTTAAAAAAAAATTATGTACACCATCATAATTTAATTTTATGAACATTTTAACATAAAAATATTTAAATTCTGATAAATACTAAAAAATCACTAAATTTTGGTGAATTTTGAGTTAAATAATTTTTTTAAAAATTATTTTAGCAATTGGATTTAAATTTGGATTATTAGATCTTTTTTTTACTGTTAGATTTGATTATATTCGATCTCAGCCGTTGGATTTAATAAATCCTAAAGAACATGCCCAAATGGGTGGGGTCCCGCTGGTGGTGCCCACACCATTTTTTGGGCTAAATCCTGAGAGGAATTTGGCTTTTAGCATTTAGCCCACACATTTAGCATGGATTAGGTTGGGTTGGGTTTTGGGGGGTGGGGGGTATAAAACCTAAAAAATAGCATTTATCCCATAGTTGGGTTTGGTCTAACTTAAGATGCAATTAGGGCAATTTTTTTTTAATTTTCTCTTTGGATTTCAGTTGATTAGCATTTATTTTTTGGTTATTCAATTCTTTTCAGGTTTGTAAATGTTTGGCTTATATTTTACCTGTATACCAGCACACTTTTTACATGAATTTTTTTTTAACTTTTGTATTCCTGCTCTAGTGTAGTGGCAAATGTGAAAGGAGAACCAAGGGCAACTGACCAGCCCAGGGCCACATCTGTGGCTCTACCATCAACATCCTGTACAAACACAGCACACTTAGTATCCAGGATATTGGGCCAGAAAATATGTAGTCAGAGAGAGAGAGAGAGCTGACCCGGTGGACTGCAAAACTGGAATTAATTCCCGCACCATTTATCTCTTTGCCTTGGACATAAAGGCTTCTTATAGATGGACCCATCCCCTTGGGACATACAGCAATTACACTGATGTTCTTGGGAAAGTCAAGTCCTACTGACTGCAAATGCCCTAGAAGGAAACCATCTGAAAGACCAAGTATACTATATGGTTTCATGTGTGACAATACTTTCTCATAATTATCGGCCTGCAACATGAGACAAAATTAAATCCCTTCAGAAAGATGCTTCTTAGGGTAGCCAGAAAACAGGGTCGTTCACCCACACACTCACGGCTTCATTCCATTAGAGATTACATTCTGTAATATGGCCTGATTCTCAACAAAGTGAAACTTCACCAAGCAAACGTTACTTCGGTTAGCATGGCAGCACATAATTTCCGACCAGCAAAACAAAATCATGCATAATTATGAAGATATTCATGAGATGACAATTACATGCAGATAGCCTAATACCACTCTGGTTTAATGCTAACAAATGACTTGTTAAGAACACGCATGGTAGAGAACTTAAAAAACACTTGATTATTAACACCATCATTCAACAATTTTCAGCACATATAGTTCGCGATATTACATCAAAGAAAAAACAAAACAATATGGTAATCGGATTATCAGTACTTCAGTCTTTATTGACCAATTTTCCAACGTGACTTATTAGTAAGTACGAAAAGTCAGTATCCAGGGATAAGAAGATAAGAGATGGTTGAAAATGATAAATGGATTAGCAGACCCAAAATCATTTTAGCAGAAATAGAAGCACCGCCACAACTACAAGTTACAGCCAATATTAGCAGAAATACAATAACCGAAAGTGCAATCAACATACCTGTGCAGAATCAGGGATTAGTAGCAACACGAGATCACTGCCTGAGATTGTTTCCCATATATCCCCCAAAGTCCCATTCTCCTCAGTGAAACCAGCTGCACGAGCTTCGGCAAAAGAACGAGAACCCTTCCTGAGTCCAATCTGTAAAGTCACAACAAGTTAAATTAGTTAACCGCAAGACATTGAAAAATAAGTCAGTAACCATATCTTTTTTTTCATATGAAATATATTTTAGTGTAAACGGAAAAGCATTTACCTTGACAACAATGTCAGACTTTGCTTCAGCTAGAGAATCTCTTAGATTCTGAGCTTGAGCAGGTCCCTGAGGAAAAGATAGGTTAAAGACCCAAATAACATATAGTGACTGAGACAGAAAAACAATATGCATTCACATTCTACAACAGTATAAAAAGCACAGAAAAGAATTACGATACGTAACCACCCCCTCTCAATTAATACTGGATTACCATAACGAATCTATTGACTTAGAGAACAACCGTATGGATACAGAAACAGAGAGAAAACCTAGGAACCAATGCAGACCCAAATACTTGTTGAATGAAGTGCCATGTCGGCAGGGTTGTTGGACTGATTTGTTAGAAGTCGGTTATATAGTTAGATTAGTAGCTTAGCTGCTAAGTCTTGAGCGAGTATATATAACAATCTTAGCTATGCAATTGTATTCATTCAGAATCATCAATGCAAAGGATTTCATTTCTCTCTCTTGTTTTCTCTCAATTGTTTCTTAGCTTTTCTCTGTTCTTCTGCATTCTTGCAGAACTGTTATCAATACTAATCATGGTATTAAATAAATCAACCAATTAACAAATAGATAAAATATATGAGAGAAAGTTCATTCACCTGAGAACCCCAACCGATAACACCAATCTGCTTAATCAGGGACGAAGCCAGAACTTTGTGTGAATGGGGGCATCCTCAAACAACAAAGCCAGAACTTCTGCAGAACCAGGTCGGAGAGCAGAACCAGATCAGTTCAGTGGGGGCTCTGATGCTGCAAACCCAGCTCAATTTGAGCAGCATCCCAGCGTCAGAAAAATCTCAGTGGGGGCATCCGCCCCCCCTAGGCCCATGGTGGCTCCGTCCTTGTGCTTAATACCCTTGAAAGCATCGGGCAGCAAGTGGAACAGATCCCTTCCTCCTCTCACAATATACGGCAGTCAGCATCAAACCCACCACACACAATCACTAAAAAATTCCAAATGGAAATCTTTCTCAATCATTACTAGCAATATGTATATAGTTACAACAAATAATACAGTTTACATGTATTCGCACAAATCGGCGGAAAATCACTAAACATTTTGGCCTCGTTTTCCATTCCAACCATTCTTTTGTTTGTTTGTTAATGATAAGTACAGAGAATCTGCACAAAAGCTATCAGGCAGTATAAAAAGCTTCCCTTTCTCTTTCCCCAACCCATTTATTCAAATCCAAGCAAAACCCATCAACTCAATTGTAAATTAACTAAGCAATATCATAAATGCGTTTGTACAAATAGACAGATAGTGAGAGCGAGAGGGAGAGCGACCTCGTTGTGACCAGCGAGGTTGATCTTCTCCTTGGTGAAAACAGAGGTATCGAAATCGAGAGAAGGAGGGGGCTTAATGGACGGCATTGACACCATGCGAGCTCCGAGAGCTGAGCCGCCGCTGGAGACATTATTACCACCGCAGGTGGCCTTGAATCTCAGAGGGCTAAGAGACTTGGAGACCGACGAAAATCTTAGACTGGAGAGAGCCACATGGGTTTTGGATGCGGAGGATGATTGGGGAGCAGGGGAGAGGGCAGGAAAGAAGGAGGAAGTAGCCGCCGCCATTGATGACTGGGATGCAGAGGAACAGGAGCAGGGAGATTGAGGGGTGATTAAGCACGTTTTTATACTCGGTTGGGATGTGGCTAACGTGCGCCGGATGCTTAAATAAGCCCGCTGGTTTTGTCTTTTTTTGGGGGAATTGGTACTAGGAGATACGATATAAAATCATTTCGCATTCTCATCCCCCCTCCTCAGTATTTGTTTATCAATCAATTCCAACTACCAGAATAAATAAATAAATAAAAGTATTGGTTGCACTTTTTTCAGGAAGTTCTAAAGTTTTTTTTAGTAAAAATAGTTTTTAAAATTAACATAATTTTTTACTTTAGTCTCTAAAATTTGAAATTGAAAATGTTTCATGAACTTGTCCGTCATTAATTGTTTTGATATCTCCATTAAATGAAGATAAAATTCAGGATTTTTTGTAATTTTCATCTTTGTTTAATAGAAATTTTTCATAAAATAACCAAAATGATTGATGGTGTCAAACCAATGGACTGCTTCTATTAATTTCAAATATCAATGACCAAAGTGAAGAGTTATGCCAATGTTAGGGACCATTTTGGTTAAAAAGCTAAGTTTTAATATAACGACAACGTTAATAGGTTAGAGAACTAGTTTAAGTTTTACTTCTATATGAACAGAAAAAATATTAGGAGGCGTTTGGTTGACAAGAAAATGAATTTGAGAATGATAAACATCATTTTTATGTTGTAAAAGTAGCATGAATGCCCCGTGTAAAACTCGTGGAATGGCCTACATGAAGAGTTGGAAGATGATGACTGGAATTCACACGATTCATGTGAAGGCTTTGTGAATAATGTTAGTTTGCTTTCATTGAGAGGTGTGCTATAATTTATGTGTACTGTAGTGTAAGATGAAAGCCCTATATAAAAAGGTGAATTTGAGTCATTTTATACATTGAATACCAACTTCATTTTCTTTGTGAATGACAAGTTTCTTTCACTTCTTTTCTTCTGTATTTATCTTCCTTATCCAACAGAAGGTAAGGAAAACAAGACAGTTTATTGCATGATACACTTCCAATCAGATTTCTAGATCTTGTTCTGAATAATATGTGAACATTGATGCATGTGTTTAGTTGAATGAATGAATATTGTACGCGTGTAATTGCCAATGTTGGTTAAATCTGGAGTACAATGTTAATTATAATTTGTTTAATTTATGTTAAATTGAGTGCAAAATTAGGGTAATGGAGGAATATTTTAATTTTGTTTTTGACAGTAAAACCCTTTTCAGTTAGTAACCACTTAGTGCTTGTTTTCGATCTGCCATCAAATACAAAATCATGGCTCTTGATTTTCAGTTTACAAGTAATCATAAGGATTCGATAATGCGAGAAATGTTTGGTTACTCTTGTATGGCGGTTCTTGAAGTTATTTGTGGTATTAACCATGAATGAAACTCCCATACAAGAGTAACTTCAAAGAATCTATCGACTCAGTAACACTTTCATTAATGATCTCCGAATATGAATGTCCTTTCTTCCTCAATACTTCGATCTGGAAATTCACAAAGCAGTTAAAAATCACATGCAGAAGAAATTATCCCCAGTTACTAACAAATTCATTTATTTCTAAGGAAAATATATAAACTAAAATCACCGCATTTATGTTCCAAGGAACTGAGTTTCAATTGAGAGAAAGCAACCTACAAGGCTACAATTTGCATTACGAAACATTATATATGTGTGTTCATCGTTTCTACAACGGATCCTCTAATAGTTGATAGCCTAGATGTTTATGATTTTGACTAGATATATTGGAAAAAATAACGCTTTATGAAACCCACATTCTTAATTAACTATATGGTCTAAACCTGAAAGGCATCTTAGTCGAGAAAAGTAAAAACATCAAAATATTTTCATATACCAATCTTTTGTTGCCAGTATTCTAATATCTTTTAGGCACGCACTTGCTGTTCGGACTGTGTGTTTAACTTAGTCTGGTGTCGTTATAGTCTGCTATACTTCGAGATCAGAACAAAAGGAAAATCCCATTAATTTGTAAGCAACTCAGAATAATTGCTTGTGTTTGCAATTAATGTTACATTCTCACCAATAAACAGATGGAGAACATACGTAAAAGCGACGACCGGCCAAGACAACGCTGCGGATCTCGCTGCCACTGGCAACATCTTCGTAGCATTCATTCAAGACGTCCATGCATGGATAAAATGAGGCGCTATATGAGCCTCAAATTCCCTTTTACCATCTTCAGACAAAGAGTTGTAAATCTCTAACATGCCCTGTTGGGAAAAATAATAAAAACAATGACTTAAATTGATATACAAGCACGGGTGTGCACTTGAACACACAAATGTAACCATCATCTAAGCTTAGAGAATGCAATCACGAGCAGTGACATATCTAGGATTTTAATACTGGGTGGTCCCAATTTAAACTCTAAACAAAATTAGATGAAAATAACCTTGAAAAATTAAATGATGAACTACTAACTTTTCATTCATAATCTTTATACAAACAACATTACAAGCTATAAAGAATAAATGCAGTTTACATCCTACATACTATAGCATGGGATCATTTCCAAAATGAACCACATGGTTTCAATTTCAGCATTTTATACCTAAATGTTTTTATTTTCAGTTTTTGTGACTGGTTTAAAACGAAGCAAACAATACAGGTGATGAATTGTCCTGATGGTTAGAGCTTTCCTATTCAACCAACTGTGTTTCGGATTCAAACTTTCTCTTTTCTGTTATTGTAAGTGTAGAATTATCGTCTGTAATTAGAAAACAAAGCAAACAAATGAAAATAAAAGATAAAAAAAAAAAAACAAAGAGGAGAACGTACACACAACCAAGATGAAATTGATACCAATTAAAAAATAGGAAAACTAATGAAAATGACTTGAAAACTTTGAGTTTTAACGATAAAATAAACGGTAAAGTGAATAGTACCATGATTGATTTTTTAGTGTAAAAATGTGGTTTTTCGTTAAAGTGAACAGTACCAGAAGCTTTTCGTTAAAGTTCCCATCAGAAAAAGAAAGGAAGAATGAGAGAAGCGGTTGAGAACAAAAGGATATAATTTCAACAAAAAAATAAATAAATAAAAAAAAGCAAAGACGTAAAATAAAGTGACGTGGCTTAATTTTCTAAAAGCTAGAAAACGTCTTTGGCCCAAAAACAAACGGCCGTACTGCAAATACTTATTAAATGGCAAGTGATCTTTATATACGCCGTGAATTTAAACTCTGTTGGCAGTTAATCTAATATATAATTTAACAAAATTTATTGTTTGACAAAAAAAAAAACAAATACTTATTAAATGACTTAGTGAAACGACGCAGCATAGTCGAGCGTTAAAAGTTGAAAAAAAAGTGCATTTTTTCTTCTCCCTCCTCAGGCTGCCCTCTTGGGTTTTTTTGCCCACCGCCACTAACACCAAATGCCCAAACTTAGGTGGTCCTCGGAGGCCTTCACAACCAACTAATTGGACTTTGGGGTGGTCTACCTAGTCCCTTAATAGATATGTCACCGATCACGAGTGTTTGTATGTGTGTGTGTATTTATTATTTTTTTAAACATTTGTCACACTTTTGAAGAGCATGAAATTTTGAAGACCAAAAGGAAGAAAATAAAAATTTTGAATTTTTGTTAGGAAAGATCTTATTGTTGGTGTGTGTTGTAAATGATTTTAAGCCATTGAGTACACATGAATTGACTACACCCTTCTAACCGTTGTTGCTCATCAAACCTATTTTCGTTCCCATCGATGTCAGCGACTTCGACTTTTAATTCCATTCAAGTAGTGTTTTTATCCTAAATGGGGATGTTGATGCACCTGAAGGTCTTTGTGGGATTGCTGTCTGCCTCATGCCCCACATATACCAACATCTTCCGAATGTTCTTTTTCAGTTTCGGTTGTTTTAATTTACCAAATACATATTGACAAGCACATATTCCAACATCCTCTGTTTGGCTGACTGACTCCTTGTCTTGGAAGGACCAAAGCCGTTGTGGCAAGTCAGCACCTTGTTTTTATTTACAGGTCAAACACTGTCCTTCCTTCCAAATATTTTCAATCAGATAAATGCTTTTTCTCTTTACATGCAATAAAATTTTGACAATTACCATCGACCTTTTAGTCAAGACGTATTTCTCATTTTAATTTATGACTTTCGTTTTTTTTTTTGTCATTTGGTGCTTAAGAATTTATGGTAATTTAGTCTTCAATTTGATATGAAAGGTTAAAATAAAACACTTGAATCACACGTATATTATTGTCTTAGATTGTATTCGCAAAAGAACCATAAATTTTAGAATTGCAAAAATTGAGGAATGGCCTCAAGGGGCGTGCATGAATAATTGTTTGCCTTTTCTTTTCCTTTTGAAACTACGTTCGTAAACCAATAACCAAACCTTCGAAGGAACTACTATCCGCAGTAACATTATCAATGTTTTTACCTATTATTCCAGCAAAAGCACAATACAATGTTGAGCATTACACGCAACTTGCAATGTGATGAAGTACAAATAATAGGTGAAAACTGAATAAAGTGAACCCTGACACGAAGTAATAAGGATGAAATATGGTGGCTCTCTTCCTAGCTTTAGCGGTTTCGCTGCACAATTCATGGCTGCTTCCTTCCTTCACTCATCTCACGCGAACTCCAGGCAGAATCGTGTGGGTGTTGTCTCAACAAAGTCCCAAAACAACTCATTAGAATTGATCTTAACGTGAGAAACCTTGAAATAGCCCACCTTATCAGAAGACCCGCCTTGATGGATATAAGGGCGGGGGATATTACTGGAGA